AAATAGCTGTCGAGGAGAGGGACTGGAGGCAAGGAGGGAGTAAGAGAGGAAAAAGAGTTAGGAGTTTAGTGTGGATAAAGCAGGCCGGGAGACCTGTGGTAACAGCTGGAGGGAGGTAAGGTCTCTCAGAGGTGATGCCTACCTGAGAGAAAAGCGGCATCTAGGGACTCGCCAGCACCTTAGGCTTCGAGGCGTAGGACGCAAGTCAAGACAAAACAGTACAGCTGAGCCCATAAAGTTTTCCTGTTCCATGGAAAGCTCTGTTCTGAGCTACATTACCTACAACAGGATCAGGGCTAGTCAACAGTGTTGGTGTCTTCCCAAGGCCCTGAGCAGCTGTGTGGGATTCAGTGTATATTTCCATACAAATGTGTGTCTTGTATATTGCAGTATTTATCCAGATGTATTGTTGGGGCATCGCTTGAAAGCATAGGAGAAGAAGAGGAGGAGGAAGATGAAAATAATTCAGCTGCTGAAGTACCTAGTAGGCCAAAGGAGGGAGTTTACGAAATAGTGGGTACCCTTTCTAAATCGGAGAGTACTAAACCGTGTTTTGCAGCGGAAACATATGCAGTAAGTGTCTTGTTTCAGGGTGCCATTAGGCAACATTTAGAAATATTGCAAGTCATGTAAAATGACCTGCATTAGTAAAATTGTTTTTTGTTGCTGCTAGAAACCGTACACACATATTTTATTCCTTCTGCTTCTGCACACTGTTGTCTCCTCCCTGCTAGCTATGATACAGCAAATAGTAAAAGGAAGGAACTCAGACTCAAAATACACTTTCTTTTTAAAAAAAGATAGTTTCGGACAGGACATCATCTATCCTGATGATCCACAGCATTGCTTCCTTTTTCCTGTGTCTTTTATCACCATTAAAGGTAGTGGTGCTGGAATCAAAGTTAGTGTCCCCGTTCTGAACTGTTCACTGAAATCACAGCTTCAGTAGTCACTAATTATTATGAATACCTACATCTTCATATAAATACACGTCCAAAGTTAACTAAAGGAAGCTTGCATTTAGTTTCAGAAAACTAACTCAAGCAAGAAGCAAAAATTGCCTCTAACTGAAATTGATTATCCAGAATCTCTTCGAACATTTGCAAATTTTAATTTAAATGTCTACAGAGCTGAACTGCTTAATCAGAAAATTATGACTGGCAGTATTTAATCTTAATCACTCTTGCCTAAAGTGTTTATTGGACTTGCTCAAGTGATGCAGACAATCTGCATTTAATAAAAATGACAGAATGCTATTTTACAAGGAAATGGACATTTTTAAATGTCTTCCCCATTGTGCCAGCTGATCCTTGTTTAAAATACCTATAAAAGATTTTTTTTATACTCACAATTGCACTGAAAATATGAATCCTAAAACACTACTAAAAATTGTACATGTTTTTGAACTGTATTAATCTGTACTGTAAATTAGAAGTTTCAGAATTCAATTTACATTTCATCACCTTACTTGTATCTGACATGAAGTCTGGTATCTTATGAATGATTCTAACATCCTAATGTTAAAAAACTACATTCTATCAGTAAGTTACACTTGAAAAGGAAAGGAATTTTAGATTATTTCCTTTTTTTTTTTTTTAGTCTCAGATTCTAACTATTTTTTCCCCAGGTCTCTTCTCAAAAAGAGCTCTTACGTCACTTGCTTGAGTGTGAGATTGTTTTATATAATATCACTGAGGATGCAAATCAGATTGAGGAAGCAACATGGGCTGCTTCTGGTTAGTATAGCTATCAATTGAACAAAAACCTGGTTGCTATACAGTCATCAAAATTTACCTTAAATGTATAATTAAATTGTTTCAAACTTACAGTCACTGTTATATAAAGCTGGATTCCTTGATGAACAATTGCTACACGAATTGTTCACTAAATTAACAAGGGACCATGGAATGCTATCTAGCATTCATAAGCTAGAGAAGTTCTCATGGAATGGTTGAACACTTTAAATGACGTATCTGTGTAGGCAGTTATTTCCCTAAATAACTATCAACCATCATCTTATCTATTTGCATTGGGAGGTGGGTAGAAAATTTGCTCCTGTGATACTCAAATAATGTTTCAATATTTTATATAATTATTTAAAATACATTTTGACTTAAAAGTCAAATAAAAGCTACTGCTAACAGTCCTTCAGGAACATTCTCCTGAGTGTTATATCCAAATTCTAATGGGTGTCTGGAATCTCATTATGGTGCCAGTGCAATATTGTTCTTATATGATAGCCAAACTAAATTATGCTTTCCTGTTTATAGTGTAAATACGTGTAACATAAGTTTTAGAGGACTCAGCAAAACATAACCCACAATTAATTATTTTGCTCTAATTTAAAATAAGGAAGCCTTACTTGAATTCTGTAGATTTTTTTGTTTCAGTCATTAAAAAAACACACTTTCATTTTTTCAGTATCTCAGAGGTCAATGAAGATTAATAATTTCCTAGTATGCATCGTTTCTTTTCTTTTTCCCAATGTTATGGAGATTTTTCAATCTCTATGGAAATTATGTTGATTCCCAATTATTAATTTCTTTATTACCATCATTCTTATATGTTTTCTTTCTCAATTTTTTATATTTATTTCATACCAACCAATAGGAAGAGTATTTGTTTAAAATACATATCACACAGAACATTATGGTATAAATGTCTATACAGGACCTTTATATAAAAGTAAAAATACTGTTCGAGTAATACAGTTTACAATAAATTAAATTCTTTGCTTTCATTTAACAGCCCTACATAAGGAAATAGAGCATTTTACAACACCTAAGTTATTCATCCTCATTTCAACAATAATGAGCTGGGCTAAAAGCAACCCCCCTGACCCTGTAAGTAATATAAAACCTTTTTTTTTTAACTGCATAGTTTCATTTATTGGAAAATACTCATTAAATTCAGTGAAACAATGTATTTTAGTATGCACTTCAACAATAGCTAATAAAGTTAGTGTCAACAAGTGTGTTTTTCCTCATGATACTTTCACCTTGAACTACTACTTACTGCCAAAACAGCTAAATATATTCCACTGGACAGAGACATTTAGGCACTGGACTGCAATGATACAGGCAGATATTAGGGACTTCTTGGACAAGAGGTAAGATCTATGCTAACCACTATATGCATTGTCCTTTGGTCATAAAAACATACCATACTTGCTATTATTTAATGAAATATGTATTTAAATAAGTGTATAGACAGATAGATACATCTCTATATCTGTATATGTTGAGTATTGTCAGGAACCATGTGGAATTCTTTTGTAGTATGCTACTGCAGTTCTCAAATTTAGCCTTAGCAGAAATTGTACACATTCATGTTATCTGTAGCAGTTCTCAGTGTTTTTCAAGCTTGTGTGATGATATATGTAATGAAAAATCATGTTTTTTATAACATAAAAAGTAGTTTCAAATCTTTTGCTGTGAAAATTGAAATTGAACTATTGACATTTTTTAAATGTTGAACTTCAAGCATCATAATCAGAAGTTTTAAGAATTTCAACTTCAAATAGATCTTTACAATATTTTTAAGAACTTATTTTAAACATCCAGGCCTTTAAAAATTATTCTATGTTAAGACATGTATAACAATCACATTTTTTCCTTCATAGGAAGATCCTGATATTCCTTTCACTGATGAAGATTATCTCAGAAGGAAATGTCATCCTAACTTTGTCGATCACAAAAATGCTGAAGAACTCATTCTCAAACTTGGGAAAACTGTATGTAAATAACTTTTTTTATAAAAATAGGTTGTTTGGTCTTCTCAGAGAATTATTTTAATAATGGAAATTACCAAGAATTTGAATATTAAGAGTATGTTATTCTCTTGATAAATATGAAAAACATCAATTATTAATAAAATCTCAAGTATAGAGAATATAATTATGTATTTTGAAACATAAGTGTCTACATAATACAAATCCAAAATTCTGTCTTTTTTCCTTAGGTGGTGAGTAGATCATGCTTATCTCATTTAAAAAAGTATATTGTTTCATTGGTTGTGTCAGAGAATTAAAGCTGGGGCCTGTGTGGTGGGTAAGACCTGAAGATGAAAGAATGTACAGGAAACGGTTATCAGTGTAATTTTAAAGAAAAGCAGCATCTTTAAATATTAGGAAGCTATGTTAATATTATGTCTCATTTAAATACTTAGAGGATGTTCTGGCCACACCTAGCATGTTCCTGGATAGTTCGTGTTCTTGGAGCAGAGAACTTGTTGAGAAAATAGCACTACAAATTATATTCTATTCTAATGTGAATTTAATAGTACAGAAAGCCAGTAAAACTAGGTTTAGAGTTGAAAAATCACTGGTAAATTGTCTTACTTTGACTGTGCTACCATGGAGTTATAAGAGTATGGAATACCTTGTGACGTTAGAAACATGAAGACTGTAAACACTGTCCACCGAGCCTCGCAAGTGACTTCTGCCACCAGTGACACCCAGCTGAACTACTGACTCAGTGTTTCCGACTAGTCCAAAGCACTGAGTCACCACGTAACAAAGCTGTTAGTGTAATTAGCTGCCACATGTTTGCCAGGCTGAACGTCTGCTGAGAAGACAGTGGAACACTGTGTAGCAGTCCATTATAAAGCAGCTTGAATCTTTTCAACATGTACCTCTCCTAGGCCTTTCAAAAGGAGCCCTTTTCCTCCAGGACTCCAGGGGCAGCATCAATGGGCATCATTGCTCCCGGTTAGTTTCTGTCTGCACTTTGGAACAGGAAGGCTCCAAAGATTCTATTCCACCCAGCAGATCAGCATTAGCTTCCTGTAATGGCTGGAGACTTCTGGATTACAGGCTTTACTCATTCCTAAATTCAGTGGCATCTGGGGAATGTGCCATCTGTGAAAGGGATGAGTGTTAAGGCTCGCCTGCAAAAAGCTTGGCAGGAGATACTAAGATTCAGCAGCTGTGTCAGTCAGGCAGGGATCTTGCACTTTAGAAGGGTTCCTCAGCCTTGATACCTGTTCAGAGTGCAATTTTGTGGCCGGCATTGCTTAAAGCAAGATTTCACCCCTCTGAATTAGTGTGGCTCCCACCTATATTTTGCTTAAAATTCAGCAAGAGTTGCGAGCTAGGAGTGTTTGCCTTTTACCACTGGCGGTTTTTACCTTTATCTTTGTGGCAGGGTGTTCAGGCTGTGTAGCTTTCCTCAGAGGGAATTTGCTGGCTGTGGGGTCAACAAACACGTAAAACACGCTAAGCCTGGAACTGATTATAATAGCCAGAATCTGACATCTAGTGGCTTTAATGAATATTACACATGAACGTCAAGGTCGTCACCCGTGACTCACATGCTGTGTGTAACTGGAGCTTGCCTAATAATTGCCTTATTTTTTTAATTAAGTATATCCAAGCCATCCCAGTAGTGCCTTCTCATCTGTGTGACTTGTGACACTAAATAGATATGTAAATAGGTTTGTATTTCAGTGAAGTGTAGCACTCAGTCCCAAACTGTTTTGTCTCCACAAGTGGCTACTGCAGAGCTCCTGCAAGGTAAATGGGAGAAAATCCTGTGTGTTACAGTCTTCTTAAGGGAGATGAGAAATAGCACCTCCTGCGCTACAATAGTACCTCCTGTTTACAAGAGGCAGGTTTTTCCTGCTGGGAGACAGAAATCACAGCATGTATTCTCCTGGGAAGGAAGTGTTTGCAGTTGTCCAGAGCAATCTTGGGAGCTATTGTACTTCGGGTACGAAGTTTCTATCGTGGCACCACCCAAGTAAACTAAGTGTGGGAGCTCCTATGCTATCTGTAGTGTCTTCTAATTTTGGTGTTTCTTGTGATTGCTAGCAAGCTGTCGTATTCAACTGAGCTGAGATAGCTGTTATTGTGAAGTTTTATTTTGTAAATAAGTAGATAAAAACACATACACAGATACAACGCACTGATGTTATAACTTCTCATCCCTTTATACAATGCTTTGCCTGTATATCAAAGATTGGCTACAGTGTTCTTGGTTTTACGTTTCTGAAATATTGTAAAGATGATAACAAAAGATGCATTTTTTTCCCATAAAAAGTAGAACCTAAATCTGGGTATTTATTCCGTTTGCTGGTAAATCCAGGTTCTTTTACATAGTGTTATGTGGATATATAATGTCTAATAACATGAGAATAATATAATAACATAAGAATAATAACGTGAGAATTCTTTAACAATTTTGTTTCACCTTAAAAAAACAAAGTGACTGGTCCCAATTTAAAAGATTTTCTACATAAGATTATTTAAACTTCTTTTTTTTTTTTTTTCCCCCCTGTATAACCATCATCAACATTGATCCAAGAAGTAACATTTTACATAAACAGCCACCAGTACAGGAAAATTTGTGCCATTATGCAATAATGGTCAGAAAAAAATACATGGGTTGATCATGATATGCAGTTAGTTAGTTAATTTCACTTTTTTTTTTAATTTACAATGTGTATCAAAATGAAAGTAAGCAATTGTAAGATCAGTGATACAGAATTTCCCACTTCTTCAGGCAGTTGAATTCCAATACAATTGAATTTAAAATAGCTTCAATGAATTTAAGAATCATTTTCTTGGAAATAAAAATGTAAAACATGAATTATCCCAGTCACTTCATTAATTTACATAATGTATTTCCAATTTCTTAACTGTTTGTTTGGGGTTTTTTGTTTTTGTTTTAATTTCATGTCAAATATAGACAGGTAAATTCTGATTGAGCAAGGTTGGGGGTTATTTTAAGAAAATATTAGCAATATGACTTCAGAAACTACGGAATATGCCACAATTAATCTACTTGCAAATTTTAAGTGATATAATTCACACATTTTGTATATTCAGTGCACAAGCACTCAAGTTTCAGAGTAAGTCAGTACCTCATTTGCAGTACCATATTTTATAAACAACTTTGTTGTTGATTTTACTTCACAGAACAAACATAAATTTTCAACTTATGTTGTTGCCTCAGGACATCAATATGGATCTGGGGAAGGACTCTTACACTACTTTTTTAAGGTAGACATCCAACTATTTTTGAAGGTTGACTTAATTTCTAGGGGCAAACCACACTAGAATTGAATATATTTTTAGTAGCTTTGATATCATAAACCTTTTGTGAACAAAATGGATTATTTGATCTCTTTGAAATGTTTTTCCTGCAGTGGAACAGTTTTCCAATTTTTTGGCTCTATGATTTTTGTTTTTTTCTATAGTTGTTGAACTGTATCTCCATATGCACTTTACAGTGAGAATGTCTGCTATATCAATGGAATCAGGAAAAATGTCTGTCTTCTCAACATTATATATATTTTTTCCCCAAGCATTTATTTTATTTGAGATACAAAATAAAATCTGTCAAACTCAACGAATACTCTTAAAAAAAAAAAAGTTTTTTTTTGTAGACTGCCAGTCAGTATTTCTCAAGAATTGTTTCCTTTACTGCAGTTCCATTAATCACTCAAGAAGTTGGACCTTAAATCCTGAATATATAGATTTACCTAGTAAACAAATACTCCTTTTTTAGGTCTAGTTAAAAACAACCTTTTCCTCATCACTTCATTCTCCATATGTATTTTCAGATAGGTTGGCTTAGTGAGACTCCTGCAATACCTATTTTTGGAGATGGAAACAATTTTATTCCAACCATTCATGTTCTTGATTTAGCAGCGTAAGTAAAAAAAAAAAAAAAGTTCCTCTGGACAATAATTAATATCTAGCTCAATAACAAATCCAAATCTACTAGAGTGTACTGAGACTTTCAAATTGGGGTGGGTGGGTTTAAGAGCACTCTCTGAGCCTTATTATTGAGTCTTCCTGTGGTGGGCTGACCCTGGCTGGAGGCCGAATGCTCACCAAATCCACTCTATCACTCCCCTCCTCCACTGGACTGTGGAGAGAAAATATAATTAAAGATTCATGAGTCAAGACAAGGGTAGGGTGGAATCATTCAGCAATTACTGTCATGGGCAAAACAGACTCAACTGGGGAAAAATTAGTAATTTAGTACCTGAAGAAGGCCCTACAAGGAAGCTGAGAGAGTTGGGGTTGTTCAGCCTGGAGAAGAGAAGGCTCTGAGGAGACTTTATAACACCTTCCAGTACCTGAAGGGGCCTACAAGGAAGCTGGGGGTGGATTTTTTACAAGGGCCTGTAGTGACAGGACAAGGAGTAATGGGTTTAGATTGAAAGTGGGGAGATTTAGAGTAGGTATCAGGAAAAAATACTTCCCAGAGAGGGTGGTGAGGCATTGGACAAGTTGCCCAGAGAAGCTGTGGATGCCCCATCCCTGGAAGTGTTCAAGGCCAGGCTGGACGAGGCTTGGAGCAACCTGGTCTAGTGGAAGGTGTCCCTGCCCATGGCAGGGGGTGGAGCTGGATGACCCTTAAGGTCTCTTCCAACCCAAACCATTCTGTGATTCTATGTTGCTTTTTATCCTTTGAACTGCTTTCCAACTAAAATATCTAGCTGTCTATCTTTATTAAGGGAAATATATATGAAAATGCCATGCTCTGGAAGTTCTGCAAGTTTTTCTAAACTCTTTCTGCTGTTTCTGAAATGCAATAACTGAGCATGAAAGCTCAGTCTGCTTTACCAGCCCTGACTGTACTTGCTATGTTTCAGGGTGTTACAGAATGTAGCAGACCACAGGCCAAGATCTCACTATATACTTGCAGTAGATGCATCTATGCACACCCTTCAAGAATTAATAAAGGTAAAAGAGATTTGATTCCTTTTTTTTTTTTTCCAGGTACTTTTAAGGTTTTAAAAACTATACATTGTACTATAGTAGGAATTCCTAGGTCTTCCTGAATTATATTGTGTAGTACATGACATAGAAAATTATTTTGAAATCCTCCAAGACCATTGTCTTTTGAACAAAATACATTAATTGGACCTGATTTTGCAGAACAAACTTTTGTAATATTATCATTAACTTAAGTAGAATTTTTACGCAATAAAGTCCTGGTGAATTGTTGTGGGCCTCACAGTACTAGAATTAGATACTCAATGTTTTTATTATGTTTTTCCCTTCATTTTGTAGGAATATATTTTGGTTTAACAAGCATTTTGAGTTTAAGTCCAGGAATAGTTTGGATGACACTGCCGAACTGTGCACTGGCAGAGTCAACTAATACAGTATAACAGGAGACTTGCTCATGTGGGTTGAGCAAATGTTATGTAAGGACCAAACGTAACAGCCCAATTTTTTGGAATGTGTCAAAGAGTGGTTTATGGAATAGTGTGTTAGGGAGCTCACAAGAAGATGCAACCTTATTTTGGTTCACGTAAATATACAGGGTCCCACAGAAAAGTTAATAGTTCAAAGAGCCATTCTGTATAAGTGACCATAATGCAATTAGTCAACATTTCTGTAGAAGAAGCAAAGGTCAAAATAACTTTTGCAGTGGTGGTCAACCATAGGAAAGTGTGTTATGTGAAAATGAACAGCAAAGACATTAAAAATATTAAATCCTTAGAGGAGAAGGGTAGAGGCTATTGAAACTTACATTATTAGCCACGTAAGGCTATCTCATACTACTTATTAAGAAAGAGAAAATGAAAATTGGTGTGGTTGAACTGTAGGTTGAGATGGCAAGATTTCAAAAAGGTATGGTTATGTCCAGATGAAGAAAATAGAATAGAAAAGGTCATGAAATCTGGCAGGATAAGTGGAAAAACACTTGAAGATCAATTATCAGGGAAGACTCAAAATTAATATCCTTTTTTCAAACACTTAAAGAGCAAAAAGTCTGCCAGAAAATCTATAAGGCAAATTGATGACTATGGTATAAAAGGAACACCTGGAGAAGACAAGACCATAGCAGAGATGCTTTGCATTAGTCAGCATGGGTAAGCATTTGGAAGCATTTTAATGCTTCAGGATCTCTTTCTGAATAACTTGTTAGAGGATCTGTGTAAAAGTAAAATAACTCTAGAAAAAGATTACAGAATGAGCTGACAAAATGAACATTAAGAAACCACAGGAACCTTACATACAACCTGCTGTTTACCACAGTTCTGGCACCTAAAGTCTGGAGGATGATAAATCTGATGCTAGTGTAAAAAGAGAGATTCCTGGAATATTTGGGGAATTGCAGGCCAATATGCCTAATACCATTGACTAATTACCAGGTACCAGGTATTATTAGACATTATAATAAATGAAATACATTAAAGGACACCCAGATACATATGATCTATTTGGGAGGAGTCACTGACTTTTGTAAAATACTTTCCCAAGAAATACTTTCAAAAAAGTACTTTCAAATACTTTGGAGACCTCCTGATGTTCTTTAATATGACCAGTAAATGAGGACAAGGGTGAAAAAGCCGATGCAGCCTAGTTGAAGTTTCCAGAGGCTTTCAAAGAAGTACTTCACCAGACCCTGTTGAGAATCAGCTAGGCCCCTGAGAAAGGTTTTTGGGTCCTTTCATGGATATGTGATTGTTCAGAAATGGGAAATAGAGGGCAGGAGGCAGTGGCAGCAGAAAGTTGCCAGTGGAGAACTGTCTTGGCAGGGAGCTGTACCAGCTCAGGGGAAGACTGGAAAGGTATATGGGAGAAAAATACCTTGAGAGCTACTTAAATATACAGCAGCTATTTCTAGTTTAGGAAGTCTCTGAGCTGAAAATAGTTGAAGATCAGAAGAGTATCTAAAAGGAGTATCATGAAAGCTTTTTCCATTCTTACTTTCATTTAGGCATCTACTAATTAACATTGTTGGAGACAGAATACTGGGATATATGTAGATTTGATCTGATGTTCTATGTCAATTTTTGTGACTTTTTGTAATATAGTGATGTTTTAAATATATTTTAAATGGCTGTAGGAGTAACTAACAACTTCTGTGTAATGACGGAATGAAAACGGTAATATGGAGAGTTACTGGTGGCATTGATCTGAAAACCCTTCCTGATTGTTAACAGAGTTAAATACTTCAAGGACCTGAAGTGAAAATTCTGGGAAATAAAATAGGTCTCCAAATAGATTTTAAGCAGAAGGAAGTTGTACATAGATTTAAGAGCTTTGGGACAGTTTTCTGTGCTTTTGGGTTGTTGGTGGTTTTTGTTGGGTTTTTTTTAGTTGCAAGTACTAAAGAAGAAGAGATACATAACAAAACAGAAGTGTTTAACACTAACGTTAATATACTATTCTGTGGTCTATTTCCAATCAGTATACTGATTTTTCAGGTATAGTGTAACATGAAATTTAAAGCATGTATTTTATCTGCAGAAATCCTCATTTTTTTCTAAGAATCTGATTTGATAATTGTATTTTTTTTCTTGATAGTGTATCAGTAAAAATATTGGACCAGGAAAAATTGAGAAGATTCCAAAAGAAAATGCATTCCTGAGCAAAGAGTTAACAGTTAGTACTTTTTTCTTTTATTAGTTAAGAAAGGATGTAATATATAATATAATATAGTA